GTATGGACCTTGGACTTCAGAAAAGCAGACTTTGACTCCCTCAGAGAACTGATGATGGACAGGATCCCCTTGGAGGCCAGTCTGAGGGGGAAAGGAGTCCAGGAGAGCTGGTTGTATTTTAAAGAAACCTTACTGAAGGTAGAGGAACAAACCATTCTGATGTGCAGGAAGAAGAGCAAATATAGCAGGCAACCAGATTGGCTTAGCAGATAACTCTTAGCAGATAAATTGGAGAGAGTCTAGCAGAGGGCAGTGAAAATAGTTAAGGTGCTGGAGCACATGACTTCTGAGGAGAGGCTGAGAGATCTGGGCATATTTAGTTTGGAGAAGAGAAGACTGAGTGGATTTAATAGCATCCTTTAACTACCTGAAGTGGGGTTCGAAAGATGGTGGAACAAGACTGTTCTCAGTGGTGGCAGATGACAGAACAAGGAGCGATGGTCTCAAGTTGCAGCAAGGGAAATTTAGGTTAGATATTGCGAAAAAAATTTCAGTAGGAAAGTGGTGAAACACTGGGAAGCAGCTTACATAGAACAGCGCTTCTCAACCTGTGGGTTGCAACTCCGAAGCGTGTTGCAAGAATATATGAAAGGGTTGCAAACAAACTTTAAAAATCGATCAACAAACTTTAAAAAATTGATTATGCTTTAAAGGAGGAAAACATGAGAAACTGGCCTTACTCTGGCAGGCTGTCGGAATTCCAGCTTGCAGGGGGCTGCTTGGACCCCTCCCTGCCCTGCACACCCATCCCAGGCCCCCACACACTGGGCAGCTGGAGCCTGGGGGCTGGGGGCAGCAGGTTGGGAGTGAAGGACACTGAGGGAGGACTGGCCACTGATGTTTACAAATGGGTCCTAGTACAAAAAAGGTCAAGTACCACTGACCTAGAGGAGTTGTGGAATCTCCATCCTTGGAGGTTTTTAAGGCCCAGCTCGAAAAAGGCCTGGCTGGAATGATCTAGTTGGGGATGGTCCTGATTTGAGTGGGGGTTGAACTAGGTGACCTCCTGAGATCCCTGCCAACTCTAATTTTCTATGATTCTGTGTTCTCGGTATGACTTACGTTGTCATACAAGGTTAATCCACAGACTTTTGCAAGGGTAGTAGCAGGACTGTTAGTTCTTTAACATAAGTAGCTCTTTATATAATTTCCTGTAAATAAAATCTTGTTTTCACATTCTTCATCAAGATAGTACTAGTATCTCACTTGCTGCTTCAAGAAGTTATAGTGCTCACCCAATAGCTGTGGTGGTGGGAGGGTTAACAGAGGACTCTACCATCTTGGCAGTGGCATGGCATGCACATTATCTCTAAACTTGCTTCTTTTATAGTGAAAAAAACAACTTCTTCACATAAAACATGCACACCAGTCTGATTTTTGAGGGAACAGTATGTATTGCATGTGAGACACTACAGTATTGCCAGAGCCATCCCTAATATATTCTTTTTTACTTCAGTAATGTTAAAGACTGGAAGTGTCTTTCTGACTATTGGACAGTGACTGTACTATATCTGTATCTCTGTGCCTTGCCTTCAAAAATATATAAATGAGACTAAAAACATCCAAAATATATATTAAAACCTATTAGAAGGAACATATAGAATTACATTTGCAAATGTTAGGATTAGTTTCTTGAAGTACTTGGAGTTATACAGGCCAAATCAAAAAATGATCCTCTCACATAATACAACAATAATGGGCTTGCAAAATGTTTTCCTTTTAATTTTTTAAAAGGGATAAATATTTACAATTAAATGGGAATACCTATAGTTAAATTCTGTAGTATTACACACAATATAGTACTACTGCATTTAGTTATATGCATACATGGATGTGCCTAATTATATATAATCCTGTAATTGAATAACAGTAAGGTTGCAAAGTCAAGCAAATTTGAACCCTTAAAAATGGGAAACGCCAAGGTCTTTGCAACAATGTCTGTTCATATTCATAGATGGTAAGGCCAGAAGGGACCTTGGAAGATCATTGGGTCCAGCACCCTGCACAAAGCAGGAAAGATAACTGGGGGTCAGGTGACCCCAGCAAGGTGACTGTCTAGTCTCCTCTTGAAGATTTCCAGGGTAAGTGATCGCATCACCTCTGGAGGAAGCTTATTCCACAGTCTGGACACCCTGACTGTGAAGAAGTTTTTCCTAATGTTAAGCCTGAATTGATCTTCCAAGAGTTTGTGGCCATTACTCCTGGTTTTCCCTCAGGTGGCCTGGTGAACAGCTGCTCACCAAGCCCTTGATGTACTTCCCTAGTGTAGCAGTAAGCTGCTACCAGGTCCCCTCTCAGCCTTCTTTTCTTCAGGCTGGAGAGTCCCAGATTCCTCAGCCTTTCCTCATATGGCTTGCTGTGTAAGACTCTGATCATACAGGTGCCTCTTCTTTGGACTCTCTCAAACTTCTCCACGTCCTTGTTAAAGTGTGGTCCCCAGAACTGGATGCAGTACTCAATCTGCAGTCTCATCAGTGCTGAGTAGAGGAGAAGAATCACCTCCATGGTTTTGCTGGAGATGCATCAATTGATGCATGCCGGAGTATTATTTGCCCTACTGGCTACAGATTCGCACTGCCAGGTCATACTCATACTGTGCTCTGTTATAAGCCCCAGGTCCATTTCATCTGTGCTTCTAGTCACCTTGGTGTTGCCAAGCCTGTAGGTGTGTTGGGGGTTGCTCACCCGTGGTGGAGCACTTTACATTTCTCGATGTTGAACTTCATCAGGTTCTGATCTGCCCAACTTGCTAGCCTGTCTAGGTCTGCCTTTATCTGTAGCCTATCTTCAAGCGTGGCTACATTTCTCCATCACTTGATGTCATCCGCAAACTTGGCTAGTGAGCTCTTCACTTCCACATCCAAACTGTTAATAAAGATGTTGAAAAGTACTGGACTAAACACCGACCCCTGCAGGACACCACTGCCCACTTCCCTCCAGGATGATTCAGATCCAGTCACTACAACTGTCTGGGTCCTATCCTGCAGCCAGTTTCTCACCCACCTGACTGTCTTGGAGTTAAGCCCTGTTAAACCCATTTCCTGGGATGCCACACTTCCTGGATATTCTCTGTCATATAGACCCTTGCCAGACATTCAGGCAAAGGCATGATAGTAACTGATGCATGCTCCACACAATCATGCTTCCTGCCATGCCACATGTGCATGGCAGGTGGAGTGATTGTGGAATCAAACATCAGAACTAATCACACTTTTATTGCTGGTGCAGGGGATCAAGATACCCAGCTAACACTGCACCGGCAAGTTGCAAGCTTCCTCAGCTGGGAGCTGCCTCAGCTGATGGAGCTCCTAGCTGTGAAGGCGCACCATGTGCTCGCATGGCTGGGAGCCTGGATCAGCTGACAGGTCTCCCAGGCATTGGGTGGGGGGCCCACTTGACCATGTGTTCCATTAATGGCATGATAGGAACTAGCCACCAAGTTATGACACATTTTTGTGGAATAATTTTGTGGCTTATTCTTTGTTTTATGATGCTGTTAATTACTTTAATGTGTGGCCATGTTAAAACTTAAGACAAGATTAACTGGTTAATCATGTCTTAAGTGTAACACGTGGAAGGTCCATAATCAGCTGTAATTCTGGAAAACTCTTTTCTCTATTCTGTCTTCCAAAAACAAGGAGCGTGTTTTATTTGGGGGCATGTGGTATGCAAGAACTTTATATATCTTACAGACTGTACCCGGTATCTAGGCTCACTCTAATATAGCAAGCAGGGGGGTTTCAGATTTAATTCTTTATGCGTTCTGCCATCTTGTAAATTAAGCATTATACCTTGCCCAGCAATTTAAAGTATTCAGAAGAATAATCTTTAGTGTAAGTGTGTTTGGGAGCAGATGAAAGAAAATGTAATGGGTTAAGTGTTTAGAGAATTTAAAATATATATTTCTATCCAGTTGCCTTAATGACTCCATCTATCATGAAATAACTTACCTATATTACTTAAAAAAAAAAAACAAAAAAACCCCCCCAAAACCCCAAACCTGATGATTCATAATAGTTTCTTTGCAAAATATGGATATTGGCAGAAATTCACTGTTAGGTATGCACAAAAATGTTCCCCAAAATTAGTCTTAATCTTGCATAATGAGCAAGTTGCTTGCCAAATTTAACTTTTGACTTCCAAGTTAGTTCTGTGTAGGAAAAATATCATTCAAAAGTTGTAACTTTTCTTTTTCTTTTTTTTTTCCATACTCCTTACAGGTGTCCAAACTAATTTGCAAGTAAATTAAGTTTCCCTGATGGTAGAAGCCTATAAATAGTAGTGCTGATTAGGCCATAAAGACTTTGTGTGTTAGGTGTCCCATCAGCTCTGCCAGTGCATCTTTATCTTTGCCTGTAATGTCTTTTGTTGGTACAGCACTAGGCATCTCTTGAGAAGAGACTGCCAGTAATACAGATTCGTTTCAAATTTTTATTGGTAGTGTTCTAATCTACACAGACACTGCGCGGACATCACCAAACTTATTTCACTTGTGACCCAAGGAAAGGGTGAACTCTAATTTCCCTAGCAAAATGGGAAGTCTCCTGCTGTGCCATTTAGTTGCATACATTTGTTTTTATATTGCTACTGAATGAAACTGTTGTCTAAATATCAGCTAAGAACCTTTTTAGTTATTTTTTCTTAAATGAAATCATTGCAATAAAAATACTGGAGAAGAACAACTGAAGTGTCATGACCAAGTTACAGAATAAAAACAGATCACGTATGTGCATGCATCTCTATTTCTTATTCTAAAAGTTTCTAAGTTACCTTATATGTTTTCCTGTATGTGAAAATAAAATGTTTGCATAAATATGTTATACATAATTATGTGTATAATATTCTCTTACTTCAGAGTCAAAACCAAGAATCACAACAAAATGCTATAAGAACATCTAAAGTAGATAATTAAAGTATAATTAAGTTTAAATGCGTTGGTGAAGGAATATAAAAATATTTAAATTCAACAGGCTAGTACATTTGCAGTTTTCTTTTATTAGGTGTGAAATCTAAGAATCCCCTGCCAACTCTTGAGGGCTCAATCCAGAATGTTGAACTGAAGTACTGCAGCACATCATTGGTCAAATGTGCCTCTGGGACCGTGGGATCAATAAAAATTTGTGCCAAAGCCCCAGGTATGTGCAGCTGGACCATGTAAAACTTTATTGCCTGTATAGGAGAATTGGCCTTGCTTTTTACAAGAGAATTACTGAAACAAGAATTTACTCATTGTTCCTATGAACCAGAGGGGGGAGGGTTGTATTCTGTTTTTTTACTTGTGCCAGGATGATACAACATGGCCCTAGTAAATTCAGTGTTGACAATAAGTAAATAAAATAAATTTAAAACTTGGTTGATTTTTTATTTATTTATTTATTTTTTAATACGAAAACCAGACTCTAACAACAAGGAAGAAAATCTATGTGAAAACTAGATTATTTTCATTTTAAAGTACAGTCACGTTTTGCCTTATTTACAGTATAATTATGATAAATTGTGGGTTTTTTTAAATAATTTTGAAATGGACAAAACACATTTTTCAGGCCTTACATTTTTAAGGGGTTTGTTTAGTGTACTTTTTTGGGTACTGCGTCTCTTGAAGAATGAAGTACACATGAAGAATGAAGTAAACATTTCCAACCAATATGTATTTTTCATTTAGTCAGTGTTTAGAGTTTTTTAAATGTAGGAACTATACTTGAATGTCATTTGAAGTAACTGTTCTATTAGTGGACTGTAATTAACATATGTAATTTGAATTGATTAGTTTATCTGGTATCATTATTTTAAATCTTATTGGGTATAAAAAAACTTGTATAATAACTGTATGAGTAAGTGTTTTTCTGTGACCAAATTTATAACAGCTTGTTCATTGTATTTTGTCACTTTGTTTATGCTTCTGAATTTAATAGCTGCTCTTTTCAAGCTAAGAAATGTTTGTGTCAAAATTTTTCCTTGTAATAAAAGGCATAAAACGTTTAACCTTTATTCAGGTGATGGTGGAAAAGAGAAGCTGATTCCTTTAATTCAAGGCCCTTCAGACACAAGAGACCTACACAGCAGCAAATGGCTCAATGAAAGTAGAAAGCCAGAATCTCTGTTAGCTCCAGATTTGGTAGCCTTTACAATCCAAATTCCACGGTGTATGGACTACTGCCATAATTCTGGTAAGTGCAAAACCCTTGTTAAGCTGATATCAGATTACATTTTCCTATCCAAGGTAGTTTTCTAAAGAGGGACTTGATATAAAATGTGCTAAATGCCAAAGTATTTATTTCACATGCTGCATGCATTATAACTTCAGATTAACTTACTTTGAAACTTAAAAAACAAAACACACCATATATATATATATATCTTCTTATAATAAGGCATGTTTAATTGACTGTTTGCTTTTAAAAAAAATACATATTTTATTTTCATCTTTTGTATTTTTGACAAAAGGCAAGTTTCCTATCTACTGATTCGGTTTTAGATACAAAATTACCAGGTTAGTTCCTGGGTAGACTCAAAATGTTTTGTGTAAATCTGTGGCATATTTTGTCAGTTCCATTCAGAATTTGTTAATCCACATAATAAAAAGTACCCACCTTTTGAAAACCACTTAGTCTCATCTATCTCATTTTATAGTGTCAGATTTAAGTGGCAAGCAAGTTTAGAGTTTCAGAATGGTTTGTGGAGGACTTGAAATTGTTGGTGGCAAGGTTTCTTTCTGAAATCATTTGTGGGTATAACTGCTCTTCTATGGTAGGCTTCTGGCTTCCATGGGATTTAAACAAAACATTGGTCATTAGTGATCTGTTTAAAGGTACATTGTCAATTTGATATCTAGTTAGTTGAAAACAATTCTGTAGAAGCAGGTTTGGAAAGTATATATGGCCCTAAATCTCCTTGCCAATATATGTTGCTTTAGGAATCAATTGCCCATTTTAAAATCTTGCTCTCTCCTTTGTGGTTACATTAAAGAAGGAGTAAAATAATAGGGGAAGCTAATTAGTTGATTATAAGGAGAAAACAGTGAAAGTAACTGTATATTAAGTGCTTTGAAACACTAAAAATCTATTGAAAAGTGAGATAATTTTTTCCTAGTCTCTTTAATTTATACTACCCTTTGAATGTATGTGCATTAACTGTATTTCAAATATAGGCAGAGAATTTTTGTTAAATTAACAGTTTCTCTTTAACTAAAGATCTGTGTAAGTACAGAATGTGAACATGTAATCAATTCTGGAAACCCCCTATTTCCAGATATACTTTAATATCAAAATATCTAACATACTACATTTGAATGTGCATCCTGTTATGTAGGCCATGTTTTTAATATTTCAAGTACTACAATGAAAAGTTTGCCTTGTAAAATCATCTGATACAGGTCCCTTTTTCCTCTACTTCCTAATGTCTTCAGAAAAAGGACCTGTTCCTTAGGAGTTTTTCCACTTTGGTCATTAAATACCATGATGTGTGCAGTGACTAATCTTTACAGTATATGTTCATAAAATCTGTATTTCATTGGATCTCTGATACCTTATCTTTGAAGACTCTCAGTTCAGCAATCCTATTTTGGGCTAATGTGTTTAACTTATTGTGAAGAACTTTGCCTGCTTACTATCACTATATAAGAAAATAATAACTTTTCTGAAGTATCATGATCACAATCAGAATGAAAATAGTTCAGTTTAACCTTCTGCTTATTTTAGGACATTTCTGACAGAGCATGCTTGAGAGAATTAATAAATAATTTTAAACCAAGCCTTGTCCACATTTATGTATGTGGATTGTTAAAGTGATGCAGCAGTAAAACAAGTCCTAATAAAGAGTTACAGTCAGTGTTGAATGAAGGCAAGTAGTTAACAGAAGTGGGAGTTGAAAAATGCTATAACAAATTATATAGTTTTATTCTCAGCAATCAGCTGTCTTATTCTAAAGGGTGGGCTCCCAGAAGATAGTGTTGATTTTGTATTTTGACTGGCAAGCTGCAAATGACAAACTGATTAGTTACCTGAATCATTAGAGCTACAGCTACCATCAGGTTCTGTGCAGAACAGAAATTGATTGAAATTGAGAAGGAAAGAGGCACCAAATTTAAAAGTTTTTGGTCCAGAGGATTTGGCGAGCTGTAAACTGGAAGCGAGTTCTTGAAGGAATTTAGGTAAGCCCTTCTCTTGGCCCTACAAGAGAAGAGGGGTTCACTAAAATAAAAAGGACATCCATGGATTATTTATGTTGAGGTGGGCAGTTTTCCTGTTTTGTTTCAGGTTTTTTTCCCTTTTTATTAAAGGACAGGAGAGCAAAAATATGATAATTTCTGATCTCGGGTAGACAAAGAGCCTGGACCTACAGATGAAGCTGCTGACAAGAATCAGGAAAGCTAAATTAAGAGCTGGTTCAAATTATGTTGGAATGGATATAGAAAGCTTATTGAAAGATTATGGTGCCAAGGAAGATGTGGAATACTCTTGGAACAAATCAGTGTAGTTACTATAGATACCCTAGAATCACTATAGAAATTCATAAAAAGAAACATCTGAATAAAGGAAAAGTGGGAAAAGAAGCTCCCAAAACAAGGGAGAGACAAGTATTCTGGATTAATTTGATAAAACGATAAATTCATATTTTTTATCATTCCCCAGCAAAAGGAAGAATGATATGCTATGCTTCTGGGTGTCAAAGCTAGAGATAGAAGCAGAGATTTATTTCAGGGAAACTTCTAGTTACTTTGGTCCCATGACACAAGAGATTACTGAAAAGGCAACTTTCTATATACTTAAGAGAGCTCAAACCGTAAGTATCTCAAGGACAAATGACTTACAATTCCTTCCAGTGCAAGTATGAGCGAAGGAGGAAAGACTAGTCAAATTGTGCACCTCTAACAGGATTTTTAACTGTTGTACAGCACTAGATTACTTTCTGTAATGACTGGTGATTGGATTATAACTCATTCATACTGGGAATCAACCTGTGGGATACAAAACTAATAAAGTGGCTAGACTGGGTATAAATTTCTAGAAAAGAGGTTTTCCGTATGTGTAAAATGGTATTATAGTGTTCCAGTTGAATGCTAAGAGTACATAAAAATTGAATTATAAAAGACAAATAATAGTACTACATTAATATTTTTATGTGATCTGATATTCAAGGTAACAGAAAAGTAATGGCTAGTGACAGTAAGTGTAATATAGTGGAGGAAACTGAATCTGGTTACATTTAGTTTTGCAAAAGAAGTAATAACTTTAATGTGTGTATCCATCTAATATCCAGAAAAAGGAAGAATTATGCATAGTAGGTATATTTATTGGCAGTTGTTTACTCAGAACACAACCCTTTTTTGTCATCTTTCTGTAGTTTTGTGTCCTCCAACCTAGACACATTATATAATACATATGACATTACAGACAGTTGGTGGCTTGCTGGGTGCTATGCACTGTCCCTGAACTGGGGAAGGAAGATCTTTCTATGTCATGTTTGAATGCACCATGTTTATAAACCGGCACAGCTTATTTCACCTGATATATGAGAGAGAGAGAGAGAGAGAGAGAGGGGGGAATTTGAAAATGAAAGGGGTGTAAACATTTTATATGAGCTATGGTAAGGTGATTAAACTGTATTTATTTTGCAGTATTTAACCGGAATTAAGTATTTAATAACATTCAATAATGGAACATTAAATCACTGAAGTAAACACAATAATATTACTTTCAAGTTCATATCATATAAATTAATGCATAGAATAGAAAAGGGAAATGTTGAGCATGCAAGAAAATGTCTAGTTTCTATGTGAGAACCACTAGAAATGAGCAAAAAAAAATGTAAGCTATATGTCAAATAGAAGTTGGTAGCACCTAAGTTAATTTAAAACGTCATGCTTGTAGGTTGAGTATTTTGAGATACTTCTATTTATAATTATTTGAAAGATGCACCTAATTCTGTCTCCCTTTATCACAAATCACTGAAAAATTTCTGTGAAAATATTTATTTCTGTGTAAATTTCTCTGCTTCCAAAAATCTTATGATGAAAGAACACCTTGGAGTATGCAAAAGCTCCATTCATTATAACACTGCCACCAACATTATGATTTTTTTTTGTATCATCTAGCAGTTGATTTTATTCAGTACAGTCGACTGAAAGAGATGAGACAGTTTTTAATATACAGTTCTACTTAAAATAAGTTGTTTGAAATGAAATTCTCATTGGCAACTGTTTCCTACTTCACCACTCAGGGCCAGAATATTATAAGTTCCAGCAGAGCTAGTTTTAAAAACTGGGACAATTGGTTTCTTTTAAATATTTGGTTTGAATTTAAGTGAATGAATATATTGTTAGTATTTAAAAAGAGAACTTTTGAGAGAGAATTATATGCATTGGTTTGAAGTACTTAATATTTTTTTGATACGACAAATGAGTAGGAATGCTTATATACTGTAGTAATTAAAGACAACTCACATTTGTGGTTTAGGCATAAATGTGTAAAAATTATACCCATCTATCTTATTACATTTCCTCCCCTCTCCCTGAGGACATCACTATGCGTTTTATCTGTAATTGTTGCCAGTTTTCTATCATGTTCCCACTGGGCTTCTGGTGCAAAAAAATCTTATCCTCTTGCTGACAGAGCTTGCCTGAATGATTTCATGCTCTTAGCATTTTTTTCACGGGAATTAGAGGCAAAATGTAACTACAGCTGAACATAGCGTCTATTTTTGTAATTTTGAAGTTTAGACTCTGTTATTGGAACTAAATGAAGAGATGCAGGTGTTCTCCAGTTCAAGTCCTTTGGGATTTTTTTGATGGTAGATGCTTGAAAAGAAAATGCATGTGTTTCCAGAGTCAAACAGCAGCTGTGGACAGGGATTTATGTTTTTCTCAGAACTTTGGGATTTCAAAATGTTACATTTAATCACATGCCCAGAAAGGAGAGCAAATGTTAAAGATGTTGCATATAAAACTAGGGGACTGATCTCTTTACCATACCAACTAGTTGTGGGAATACAGGAACAAAGTGATCTTTAATCTTAATATGAACAATTTCAAAAGGATTATGATAGCTGCCAGGACTCAGTCTTTTGAGCACTGTGCAATTGCAACAGAGAACATTTTTATCCTCTTAATTACTTTTAAAATCTTGTTTATTCTTGTTATTTTGCCTTTAAAAAATCCCTGTGTAAGCCA